GTGGTTCCTTAGATCCTTCGTTTCCGCCTCCCGGGCGGGAAGTCCACGGGAAAGGAATGAATCCCTCGACCCTCCGCCTGAGGCGGCAAACTCGTCGAGCCGGCTAAGGACGTTTACATTGTCCTTCTCCAGCTGACGTAATCTATCGCCAAATTTTTTTTCAATCACCTCTGCCAGCTGGCGAGCTAAGGGGGTTGATCCCCCTGACCTGATCCCCATACTGGTTTGAGGGGTAACCCCTCTTGACCGAGTAGAGGCACTTTTATTCGTGTTAGTGTGATCCCTCCCTCCGTGATGACAGGGAGCTTGTAACTCGAGACTCCTTTGGTGGGGTCCTTTCCCTCTTTGTCGAGTGTTGACCATGGTCACTGTTCTTTAGAGAGAAAAGACTTNTTCGTGTTGGTGTGATTCCTCCCTCCGTGATGACAGGGAGCTTGTAACTCGAGACTCATTTGGTGGGGTCCTTTCCCTTTCTGTCGAGTATTCACCATGGTCACTGTTCTTTATAGAGAGAAAACTCAAAAAACTAGTCGTTTCCCACAGACGGCGCCAGATTGTGCGTGCAAGATCCTGCACAATATAAAAAACGGGAACAGATCTCTCCCCTGGTGAACTCGAGTGAGCGGGTGGAGTGACCAAACGCGCTGCTTGGGACAGCCTGCAAGGTACAGTGGTAACCTGGAACGACAACGGGAGACCCTGGGGTAGGAGGAACGATCCTGTGAGGATGAAAGGGGTTCTTGGAACAAAGAAGAACAAGTTAGAAGGGCGCCGGAGTGTTTTTCGGCGTATCCCCTCCGACGGTCTAGTCAGTCTTTTGAGTGAGAGAGAGGAAGGATAAAACACTGAGAAAAACGTATTGTAGTAGAGAGTTTTTTGTTGCATACACGCTTTGCCTTTTGCAAGGAGTATTTATACCTTAAAAGCTCATGATTGCTGTCAATGTGGTCAGTAGGTGATCATTAGGCACAGGTAGCGTGTACATTTGATTCTGATGAGGAATGTCTTCTCTAATTAACTGCTCGGGGTCCCGAGCAATCAATGTTGGGTCGTCGGGGTGCCGACGGTTCAATGTGCTCCTCTCGGGGAGGATGCAATAAATGCTCTGTAATAGGAGCATTTATTGCCTTTCATTTCCGAACCTTACCGCATTGAATGCGGTCTCATCAAGGGAATGGTGCAATTAATTGTTTGCTTTCCCAAGTCGCGTGTCAGCAACGGCATGCGGTTTGTCTGTCTCTGATGTGATATCATATGCCACGCGTCCATCCCCTATTGCTTGTGACCTCTGTATTCCAGTATGTTCTGACATTACTTGTGTAAGACGAGGTCATGATGAACAGCCTAGACTAGCCTAGGCTAGTGACCTGTACGTCAATAGCCTATCATGGAGTAGAGGAAGCGTCCAGGACGGGGTAACTCTCGGCACCGAGGAAAGGCTCATCTCGGGTACCGAGGGAGGTATGCCGACCGAGGTTCATATCAGGCCGAGGCCACGTGTCGGTGTAAAAATATACCGAATGTATGATCCTATATGTCGGTACCTCGGGGGCGAGGACCTTCGTGCGCCGATGGTGCTTGATCTTAGCAACAGTGCTTTAGTAAAACCGAGGACACGTGTCTTCATCATACGGTTTTTCAGAAAAGTCCCATCAACTTGTTAATAAAAAATTATATAATTTTAAAACAATTCATATGATATTAAGAAATTATAAAATACCTATTTTTTTACATACTAGTTAATCATACCGTTTGTGTCTTAACATTAATTAATTAATTTATTATTTGTATCAATTGATCGTGTTAATTTTAGGTTTCCTATCGTGCCGGGTTCGTGTGAATGGGTAAAATTCGCACCTGTAGTCAAAATAAAGCTCCTACCTGGCTAATTGGCTTATTAATCCTCCCATTAGTGGATTTCAAGCAATTTTAATCATCTCATTTTTAAAATTTTTAACTCAGTAAGGGAAAAAATTATTATGAACCACCATTAGACCAGCTTGTTTCTACTCCGTACTCAAACCAAATGCAAGAGCAATGAATACAAAAGCCATTGGTTAGCTTCAAAATAATCCATGAATATAAATTCGTATAAATGTTATCGAGGCCTAAAAATTTGATTTAAAATATAACCTAATAACGTAGCAGTAGAAATAATCCAAATCACCTATTATATCATTAAATAAAGTTATTAAATTCTTAAAGTTTTAAACAAATTTAAAGGACAAGCCTATAAAATTTTAAAAGATGGACTTGACTACGGTTGACAAAAAAAAAAATAGTATCGTATCTCTAAAATTCAACATGTGTTTTTACAATTTTTTGTGGATTATTTTATAAACAAAAAATTTATTATTTTTGTGAGTGTTTTTATCACTGTTGTTATAACTATTTTTATCACTTTTTTTGGTATTATAAGAGTATCTTTAACTCTGATTCAAATTTAGATTCAAATTTAAATTTAAGTCAAAATAACCCAAAAAACTTTTACAACCTTAGACCCAAACTTATTTCAAATCAAGGTAAAATTTATTCTAGACCTAAATTGAAGGAGACTCAAATTTTATATCAAATTTTTAACGATAACTTTTTATCTTATCCAAATCCAAAAGACTCATCCGAGGAAACAAGTTCTTACCTCTCTTGCATTTATTTTCAAAGTCGTAATTATCGCTGTCGATCACACTACCTCTCCTTGTCTCAATTCTTCGAGAGCAACTTTTACTCTCTTTTAACCCTTTTTTCTCTCCCATAAACTCTAATTCTCAATAAATCTCTATTTCTTNTTGTCTCAATTCTTCGAGTGCAACTTTTACTCTCTTTTAACCCTTTTTTCTCTCCCATAAACTCTAATTCTCAATAAATCTCTCTTTCGTTCTCGTACGAAATTGCTTTAGACATAAGTTGTTTTAGACGAAATTAAAGACATGAAATCCTGTTAGTTGATATTGAGCAAATATTTTAAAAAAATTCATTATTTGAGACGGTAAATAGCTCACGAATTTACCACTCAAGGAGGTTACTATTCTTGAATTTTCTTTTGGTTAATATTGGTAAAGTTTATAAGAAACAAGTTTTAAATAGTGGAGAGCCTTTTCTTTTATGTTTTAATATCGGAGAGGAAATGAAGACAGATAATGAGAAAGGATAAAATGATTTGGTGGAAAAAATTTAAAAAATAAGTTTCGGGATAGTAAGAAATTTTTTTAAAAGATTTGATTAGATATTTAAATTTGTCCATTTGAGGGTTTTATACCAAATCAAGTTTTTTACTCAAATTTAGACTCAAATTTGAGTCTAAAATTAAGTCATATTTAGAGATGATCTAACAATAGTAAAAATACCAATAAATAGTGATAAAAGTATCTAAAAATGTGGTAAATGAAGGTATAGTGCTGATTTCTTTTTTGGCACCATAGACAACTCCTTAAAAAGATTGATGGTAACCGACGAGACTTTGACCTAATGATACTTCTTGCCTTGTGAAAGTTTTATCTTCTTGAGATCGAGGATTCAAACCCCTTCTTCCCTCCCCTCCCCAAAAAAAAAATAAATAAGAAGATTGATGGCTAATAATCTCTCTCTCTCTATTTTTTTTTTAATTTTAACGGTTAGAGGTGTGTATACCAATTTATGCGCACTTTAATTAATCTTCTCATAGGTCTTATCAAAGTCAGATCATCCACATTAGAACTAGAGTATTTATAAAGGACAAATTTTTTATGACCTAATCTCAAGACAACGCCAAAAATCAAATGCAAAACGTTTATATTTATAATTCATTTTTATTATCATTTCAACTATTCTTAGGTTAATGGCTAATAATCTCGCATAGACGTATATTCTCAAACTTAGTCAATCATCCTTGCCTACCCCTTAGATTCCTCAGTTGTTGACTGCCTATGCATTTCTTTTATAGAACTGTACAAAAACAAGGCAGATCAAATAAGATAAAGCTCTAATATAAACGTAATTATCCCTAACTTTTGTTCTCAAATATAAAATTCATGAGGGAATTTTGGTTTGAGCACAAAAGTTAGTGGCGTAACACAATTTTTTTTTCTTGGCTTCTCAAAAATACTTAGACCTCAACGGCAACGCCATTTGTAATCTTTCAACGATACCACCTAAGCTCTATGCGTCCTAGGTTATACTCTCCTTTGTCCACTAGGAGGGACACTTTCATCTCCTCAATTTTGGAATTTCTTGTCCTCTCGACTATTTGAATTAGTTTTACATTTTTTAAAGTCTATCATATTTTAGATGAAAAATACCCAAGCATACTAGAATTAAAACTGTAAATGGGTCGTGTAGTTGTAATATTTCTAAGATTTAGTAGTCGTACTATGTCAAAGTTTGCTCAACTAATTGTTCATATGAAAATTAGTATTGTGTATAATACTTGTTTAGATGGATTCGCGTCGATCCATTTATTTAAAAGATCTATCAAGTCCACCTATTTATCACCTAAACCTTTCTAAGGCTAAATCCACTATTGCTAATTTCATTTCAGATTCATAAAAACCTCTTTCTAGGATAATCAAGTCCAAGTAAAAATCCACGTTTTTAATGTCTACAATTGAGATTGTAAAGTTAATAGTCATAATTAGAAGTATAATATGAGAAACGTGATTGTTAAGGAGATAATGTGGATCCCATTAATCGTAGTTGAAGAATAAATACAAAAAATAAAATAGTTGAGGGGAAAATAAGACACAACGAAAATAATTGGGAGGGTCAAAACATAATTTATCATCCTTTTTATTATAGCCTCCATGAGCCCTCCACGCATTGTAAGCGTGTCTGAACTCTAAAACCACACTCCCCTCTAGTACTCCTCCATTTCATCTACCATAGATGGCTTCTCAAACACCCATGGCTTGTGCTGACCACAAGCTTCAGGTCACTGATAAGAAAGAGGAAGCTGTGAAGCGAGTACAAAGAGCTCAGTGGCTGAGAGCCGCCATCCTCGGAGCAAACGATGGGTTGCTTTCAACTACATCTCTAATGCTAGGCATAGGCGCCGCAAAAGAAGATCAACGTTCAATTGTCCTCTCCGGACTAGCCGGGGCAATCGCCGGTGCTTGTAGCATGGCCGTGGGAGAGTTCGTCTCAGTGTCAACCCAAAGAGACATCGAAAGCATAACAGTTAAAGCACCCAACTCAAAACCAACCCATAATAAAGATGATGATGGTGCTGACATCAAGCTTCAGATCACTACCGGAGCTAGTCTAGCTCTTATTGGAACTAAGCAACCTGAGGCTAATTTGTCTGTGTCACCGGTACTGACTCCGTCAAGAAAAATCCCCGCCGGAAACTTGATCTCTGAGAGTGATTACCCATGTCATCCATCATCGGAAAAAGTCTCATCTCTGAAGAACTTGGCCACTGTTTTGTCTCCTGCAAGATCTCCTATGATGAAAGTGATGATAGCAGAAGCAAGGTCGAATGGCATGGAGGATGAAAATCAGGAGGATCACAAAGAAGATCATGAGCTTCTTCCAAATCCATACAAGGCAGCAGTAGTATCAGCCATGGCGTTTTTGTGTGGGTCACTTGTTCCTTTACTATCAGCCATGGTGGTTTCTCACAGCACGATTCGTATTTTGCTGATAGTTTTGATGGCATCCATGGCCATGGCTTTGTTTGGTGGACTTGGAGCGCATCTTGGTGGTTCACCAGTTAGGGTTTCTGCTGGTAGAGTTCTGGTTGGAGGGTGGATTTCAATGGCTATCACTTATGGTCTGCTTAAACCCTTAGATAAGGATCATAAAGGTCCAGATATGGGTTAACGCTGGTATTCTTTTGATTTGGATTAGAAAATAAGGGGTGTAACTGTAATTTTTGTTCATGCTTCGTTTTAAATTTAAACAAACTTTCCATAAAATTCAAGTTTAACTTGCTTGTGTAATGAACTGATCTGAAACTAGTCTTTCTTGAATTCATCTCAAGTTGTGTGAATTTTAATCTGAATTCAATTTGAAAAATATGATACGATTATCTGACAAATTCTATGTTCAAAATTCATAGTCAAATCTATTATATATAATTTGTATAACTTAATTAGAATTAATTTTAACAATTTCCGTTTGAGTTTGAATTGTCACTCGAGTTTATCAAATAATCACTCAATTACTTCATATATACAATTTGGCTCCAATAACAATACCAGATTGGATAATGATTAATCAAAATCCAAATTCATGAAGTATGGTATAATAGATTCAGATCTACATAGTCGATTATCAATTCATATTGATCTACTTGAATTCTAATTAAGCTTTAATCCATTGATAGGCCTATGCCCAATATTTTCTCAGAATAAATAGATGACTCGTACATAAAGTTCCAATGGAAAGTCGATCATCAATATCTGTTTTATTGACATTAGCCACAACAGCAATCACAATGCCAGAAAGAG